TCTTTCTGTTCATGTGGATGATAAAACTTGTAAGGATGTTGACCGATTACTCTTTAATTTCATATGGAAAAACCGAACTCACTATGTAAGGAAAAGTGTTGTAATGAATGATTATGAACATGGTGGGCTTAATGTCTTAGATTTCACTACTCTAAATAATACATTTAAAATTAATTGGGCTAAACACTTTATCAAAAATCCATTTTCTATTTGGAGCTTCATACCTCATTTTGTATTCTCTAAATTTGGTGGCTTAAATGTTATTCTATCCTGCAACTACAATGTAAACAAACTTCCAGAAAAATTATCACTATTTCACAAACAAGTATTATTAGCATGGTCCCTGATTTATAAGCATAACTTTTCCCCTCATAAATGTATAATTTGGAATAATGGAGACATCACTCATAAAAATAAGTCATTATTCTTTTCTAAATGGGTTGAGAAACAGATAATTTTGGTGAGTCAACTGTTCAACAGTAATGGGCAGCTTATGTCATATTTTGAACTCTTAAACACTTATAAATTCCCAGCTACACCTAGAGAACATGCAACACTTGTGAAGGCTGTACCTTCAGGCGGGAAAATGTTATTTCAAAGTGTTGAATCAAACTCACGGCCTGTTTCTTTTCCCAATATTTTAGAAACAGAAATGGGAAAGTTATGCCTAATGTCTCACAAAAAGAGTAATAGAAATGTACGTAGATTGTTTCACAATACCCTTACGACTATTCCATATGTTGTTTTTTATTGGAGTAATTTTGTGGCGGACCTCAATTGGAGAATAATTTGGACAATTCCAAACACATTTTGTATAACTAATAAGGTAAAGGAAGTTTCATTTAAAGTTATTCATAAATATTACCCAGCAAATCACTATATGACAAAATTTAAAAGAGACATTGATGTGAAATGTAGCTTTTGTGAAACCCTCCCGGAGACTGTTCAGCACATGTTTTAGATCTGCTCTCACACCACTTCATTCTGGAAGGACTTCAGTAGATTAATCATTGACCATATTTATAAAGACTTTTCTTTAGAATGGGAAAATGTGATCTTTTGTTTTTTTAGAAGGCATAAAAAGGATGTTTTTTTCATTATAAATGTATTGATTATACAGGCCAAATATTTCATTCATAAATGTAAATATAGCAAGCAGAAGCCTGCCTCTAGACATTTCTACAATGATTTTTTGTTGTATATCAAATTGATAAGTGGCATAACTAACAAAAAAGCTGTAAGGACTATTGACATTTGTACTGCGTACAATGACTGTACATGATTTTTTTTTTCTTTTTTTTCGCTTTAACCCTCTGGCTATCTGATTGTCAATTTGTATGCATGTTGTTTCCCTGCACTTTTGAAGAAATAAATTCATTAAAAAAAATTAAATAAAATAAAAGGCCAGTAGACTTTAGTAATTCCAATAATTTGAATTTAGTTCATAATAAATACGCAACCTTTTCAAGAAAAAATAAATAAATAAATAAAATAGACTGCTTTGTATCTACTTCCTGGCGGAAAGATTGATATGTCCGTGTAGCCAATGAGGAAAGCTTTCTATTAAGGGGTGGGACATATGTATCCTGTGTTTGGTTGTCTCGGCAGAAGGCTGCGTAATGGCCTAGAGACAGGCGCTGAAGGAGCAGCAATGATTTTACACTCATAAAAAAGTGTAAGTTAAGTTACTTATCTATGCGATTTATTTTTAAATCACATAGATAAGTAACTTATAAGTATAAAAAAATAAAAATATGGTTTTTATGATGATGAACTGTCAGTAAAGCAATTAGGCACAAACTGCATAAAAACTATAAAACTTAGAAGTCTGAAACTTTAGACAGTTGTTGTCAACAACACAATGAACACAGGGTTTGAATATTGTGAACTTACAATGAAGTATGCCTTTTTTAGGGCCTTTAGAAATTGCAAATTTTAAGCGAGGCTAAACAAATTTTTCTTTCCCTAAACTTCAAAGGATGCAGAGTGAAATAGGAATGACATACATTATTTTAGTGTATATTTACATAAACTAGAAGGGCCTAACTTTAAAATGATGCATCACACAAGCATGTGAGATGTAAGATGTGTTTTTAAATAAGCAAAGACATTTGGGAATGCCCAACTTTTCTGTACAAGCCAAAATGTGGCGGGTGTTAAGAGGTTAAATATTTATTTTGCATTTGATTTGATTCAAAATGACTACTTTTTAAATTGTGTTTGCTGAAGAGTCTGAAAGAAAATATATATTTTAATTACGTATGTAATTTTGTCAGCGTCAATCAAAATCAAGTTACGCAGCATACATCATGCACAGCGACAAAGCGTGTCCTGCTGTTGTTTGCTAAAGCTAAAGGTGTTTGGAGGCTACAAACGAATAATACCCGCTTTAAAATGAAATGTGGTTAAAATCCACAACAGAAAAACCCGGAGGGGGAGAAAAGTCACATGTGCCAGAGATCAGGCTGATGGTGCAAAGCGAGAGAGGGCAGCGAAAAACACCGCGGTAAATAGGCCCGGCTTTTCGGAATCAGCAGTAAAGAGGTCCGCACATTAAAAGCGGGTGGCCGCTTTATGCTGTTACTTTATTGCGTCACTATGCGAGCAAAAATATGCAAGGCTCTTATTTTGGGCTGGCGAGTGCAGCTCGGTAGTGACGCGAGCCTTTATAAAGCGTTACTCCGAATCAAGGAAATACGTGCTCATTTCATGTGACGGGAAGGACTGTGGTGGTGGGGGTCGCGGGGGAGCCGCGGGCTAAAAACTTTGGGAACCCCTGGTCTAAATGACCCAGGCCTTGACCTGAGGATGGCACGAGGGTAAGATTGTCATTTCAAGTTTTAGAAAAATAATAAAAGCGTCTCATTTTGAATGGCCAAAATATTAAAGACCTTATGACGGGTTTAAAAAAAAAAAATAGTGGATATCAAAATTGCATGACCATGTCAATTTGAAGGAGATTCCGGGAAAAAAAATCCTATATTTTATAAAAAGAACGTGTTTTTCATGAATTTAAGTTGTCTATGCTCTAACCTGTGTGTGACGTCATAGCGGGTTACGCCCATGCATTGAAAACCATGGATCTATGCCACAGGACTGCCTTTTCTCTCTTCTCACCACTGATGCCCAACACAATACTGCACTCTACAGGTGACAATTGCTCACTACACATAAATTGCCGTTTTGAGTGTGAAAAAAGCACCCCAGATGGGATTTGAACCCAAGTATCTGGATTGGCAGTCCATCGACACAACCACTGGACTATCTCAGAGACAAAGAAATATCACATTCTTCATTCATTAGACTTGCTGTACACAGCCTTGTCATCTTGAATATCCGCGAAAAAAGAACGAATACCAAATTGTAAACTACTTACAGCGTTGAAACGTACCCGTTCTGACGTCACCAAGGACTGAAGTTTTTTCGTTTCTAAGGGCGTTGCTATGGGGTTATTTCGATTTGGGGGGATCAGCCAAAAAAAACAACTGATTTTGAAACCTTTAGTAGTTCTCTTCTAATATAAAATGGTATTAAAACTGTATTTCTAAATAAATCAAACCCGTCATAAGGTCTTTAAATCAAACTTCAAGTTTTACCTGCAAATGGAGAAAATAGATTAATTGTGAGTCCAGACAGTGATGGCTTCAGTTCTATAACTAAATCTCAAATGTCAATTCAATGGGTGTGATACTATAATGTTTATTAGGGTATGAATACACACAGTAGTCCCCTTTTGGCCAAGACTAATACTTGTCCTGTTTGTTTCCATGCAAACTGTAAATTGTAATCTAAATACTCATGAATCTGATTTTCACACATCAAAAGTTCTGGATAGTTTCACAGACGTTAGGCTGAAAAATACATTCAGATTGCATGTTAGAAAACAGTGAAGATGGCAATGAAAACAACTTCCATCAGAAACTTAAATAAATACATGTTTTTGTAACTCAGCAATTCAGTTGATCTTTTCTAAAAGGCAACATTTAAAATGTACAAAACTTTGAATTAGAGTTCATTTAAGCTCTCAGCATTTGGATATGACACACAAAAAGCAGTGCTGGTTTTACACAAAAGTTTAACAGCACTTGAAAAAGTTCTCGAACATTTCATCACACAAGGGAAAGGGCTGAAGTTTGAGATTTTTTGCCCTCTGACGCTACATTAGATGTAGCTTAATAACATGAAGGAAGTGCAGTGGACTACTACAGTCCTGATGGTCCTATAGAAGGTCTATTAAAGGACAACTAAACACCAAATCAACTTTTTTTTTACTTATAAACTAGATATATTTCTTAGTGCCTTTCTACATGTCCTGCTCAATTTGACATTTTAGTGCAAATTATATCAAATCTCACGTTTGAGCCTAAAACTGTCTGTGTGGCACCCTCACTACATTTAATTTGGTGCCTGTCCTCTCTATTGGCTCTGGAATGCAGTGTGACATTTGTCCAGAAGCCTCAATGACAAGTTTTTGTCCCCTGGTCCGCCGCCGGGCAACGCCCTTTTCAGGGAGATTTCTGAAATGTTCATGTAGCCGGAGTAAAGCTGGCCACTGATGTTCAGTTGTCCTTAAAGTTGCTAAACATAGCAACTTAAAGAATTATTCAATGCCACAGAGGTCAAGTTTTGTATGAATTTGTATCATTTTGGTTCTGTTTTTTGACCTTTATGAATATATTCCACGTCAAATTACGGCCACAATTCAAATCTGTTCAGCAGCTTCAGTTGTAGTTAGAGATGTTTGACTCAATAAAGTGCGGCTCTACACAACAGAATGTAGTCTTTCTCATTGCTTTCTCTGGAGGAAATGTTTTTATATTACCCGCAGCTTTAAAGAGTTCTCTCTCTTTAAAGAGAACGCGGCAGAGGTAAAAACCGCGTCAGGAGAATTAAAAAAACAATGAGAAAGACCTCTACACCAGTTTAAGGCTTCACAAATGTCAAGTGTAGCCGGTACAAAACTAGAAAACCAAGTTCTCCTGAAAGCTGGTCTCCAAGAGTCACACGCTGGTCTCTGGGTCTCCAAAGGTCAGAGGCGGGTGGAAGGTCTGACAGTGCAGAACGGCGTCATGCACCGTGGGGAACAGAGCAGTGTGTGGAACATCAGTGAAGAATTGCAGCTGCTCCAGTTCGTCCAGAAGACCTCCTGTAGGAGCAGAGTGAGGTTACACCAGGCCTGTTTACCTCCTGTATCCTCTTCCTGTCTTGTCATCTGGACCTTTCCTTTGTCCTCCTTCTCCTACAGTGTCCTCCTCTGCCACAGTGTTAATTTCAACAAGACACTTTAGTTTATTCTAGGGATTTTATTTAGTTTTAGAAGGCAGGATTCTGAATATTAGTGATAGACAGTCCACCCCCGGTCCGTGTGCCTTGCATTCATTCTATTTTAGTTTTTGACATCCAAATGGAAGGGGGGGTGGGGGGGGGGGGGGGGGGGGGGGGGCTGTGACAGTGGCTCAGTGAGGGGGTGACAGTGGCTCAGTTGGTAGAGCATTGGCCTTTGAGCCTTAAGGTTGTGGGTTCAAGCCCACCATGAGACTTTCTCCACCGACTCCCACTGATGACTGCTGTCGTGTCCTTGGGCAAGAAACTTAACTCCACTTTGCCTGAAGCCCCCGCTGAGGGATCAAGGCTATGCCATAGAGCGGCCATCCTCCTGTGGACTCACCACCTGCAGGGGGATCAGAGAGGGGCTGGTGCTATGTGTACTGGGTGGCATCTGGCCACTCCCCCGACCCAGAAATGGTTTAAGGGGTAGAAAATGGATGGCTGAATATCCAAATAAAAAAAGAAATTCTGGGCTTTTTCTGTTTCTGATATGTGAAGCATATATTGAAAAATGAAGAAATTCACGCTTTCCATTGAATCACTGGCATAATATTGGATTTTGCATTGTTTTCTTTAAACGGAATTTTGTGTAAATGTTGCAATATTCAAAATCAATTATTTGTAAAAACCAAAATACATAAAATCATGAATATTTTAAAGTTAATTTTATTCCTCCATACTGCCAAGGCCAAACTGCTCCGCTCCAGTCCCTCTCACGCAACCTTCACACACAAACACAAAAACCAAAGGACAGCGAGTGCACCACATCCGAATCTTATGCACGTAATCCTGGATCTTTCACGACCAGCACCAACAAACTTCACTGCAAGGCAGGGTTTTACCCTCCTGTAGTTTCTTCACGGTGGTGCTCTCCTCCAGACCATGGTCACCTCTGCTTCAAGTCCTCTTTTCCCCTTTGGTGTCCCTTCGGTGGTGCCGTTACTTCCACCGTCAGTGTTACTCAAGCCCAGGACAGCCTCACAGCGCAGAGTCCGGGATTCCTGTGCGTCCCAAGACGCAGATGCAGTCCCCCCAGTAGCTCAGTTGGTAGAGCATATTGGCCTTTGGGCCCAAAGGTCGTGGGTTCGAGCCCACCACGGGACCTTCTCCACCGACTCCCACTGATGCCTGCTGTTGTTGTGTCCTTGGGCAAGACACTTAACCCACTTAGCCTATAAGGAGCGCGGATATGATGTTCGCTGCATGCCTTGATGTGTATGTGTATATGTATATGTATGTACTATATGTGTATGCATCAAACTGAAATTTCCCCATTGTGGGACGAATAAAGGACCTTCTTCTTCTAAAGAGGCCTTCATACCGGATCATGCAATGCAGTAGCCTGGTCGTACCACACCATAGTACAAATTAAATTTCCGTTTACAGGTGGGAGGGTTTAACTCCTTTTGCAGATTGAAACGATTGGATCTGAGTTTAATGCGCCCGAGTGAGTCGTTAGCATTTAGCCTAGCCTATCCTTTGCTACGCAACAATCTTTGCCAGCAGTTACATTTGCTAAACATTCCTCTTGCTCCAGATTCAATTTCTTGATAGAACCAGACCGGATTACTTTACTATCGCATTTTTTGCCATTGCCAAACTACGACCTTCCCGTTCGACACAACCGATTGTAATTGCTAACGCAAGGACCAGACCCAGACGTTACATGCAGTGAAATGATGATTGAGCGGAGTGTACGGATGGCTAAGGCCAGGCTAGCGTTGCAGCGACTGTCAATGCAAAGTAAATGGTGACATGCGTTGGAGCGTGGAACTGCATCTGCGTCTCGGGAAGCACGCACGGACTGCGTGGTAGAGACGCACGGACTGCGCGGTAGAGACGCACGGACTGCGCGGTAGAGACGCACGGACTGTGTGGTAGAGACGCACAGACTGCGCGGTAGAGGCGCAGGTGCGTAAACTTGACGCAAGCAGGAGATGAACATTGCTGAACTTTTTCCAACGGTCGCACATGCAGCTACCAATCAGACAGCCGCAAAGTAGTCACGAGGTCACTAGTGGTCTTGTGAGCAGACTGAAGATACTTGCAAACAGCAAAAACAGGAGCTAAACCAGGACTAAACCAGGATTGACAAAGGGGGGCACAGTGCTTGTGAACATATGCCTCCAGCCTGAGTCCTCAACGTGGTGTGGTCTATGTTGACAATCTGAGTGCCTTTTGGGGAAAACCCAGTCTCATCCGTTCGGATGATATCCACCCAACGTTGGCGGGTACATCCTTTTTGGCTAAGAATCTGGCCCTGGCTCTAAATTCTTCTTGTCGGCTCAAATGACGGTCCAGAACAGAGGCCCAGGAAAAGTCCGAGCTCCCATCTGTTCAGTTACTAGCCTCAGAACCTAGTCATATTGAAACTGTGTGTGTACCTGGCTTGAAGTCTAAAATACTATAGGCGATGAAATCTGACACAGTCAGACACAATAACCTAATAAAAGTTCAGATAGACAAAAATAGTTCTAAAAGTAGGGTTGTTAAATGCGGATTAATGAACGTCAGCTCAATTTTGTCTAAATCACTTCTTATAAACAGGGGTGCACAAAACTTTTTCAGTGATGAGTGAGTACCAAACACTATCTCCTGGTACTCATCTATTTGTCGCGTGGTTCTTAATCGAGATTTTATACTTGCTTATTTTTAATGCTAGATAATCCAAGTCAAATCCAAGTTTTTTGTTTCTTAAAAATACAAAAACAAAAAATCAAAACATTGGGCCTCATTCACGCACTGTTCTTAAGAACAAATTTGTACGTAAATCCTACTTCAGAGGATTTTACGAAGATTGTAGCATTCATGAATTTTTCTTGCATCCAGAATTTCTCTTGGGTAAGTACAAATCCTACAAGTGCTCAGGAGCACTCTTAATCACATTCAGTGCCGACATGTTCGGACGCTGGTGTTGTCTTCTTTTGTGAAGTTCAATAAAACACAACATTACAGTGATATGTCCGTCATATTGAGGTATGTATTTATTTCATAGTTTATGGGTGAGAAACCTTCCTTTGCTTTCATAGTTTATGGTAACTTAGCCTATTTTTTTATTAAAGCTGCACTAACTGACTTTGGGATTTTGAAGCCGCGGACTCGCTGGCCTCTCTCTTTCTCCTCCCCTCCCCGCACCCACGAAGCTATCGCCCACCCACACACACCCACTGTTGGGACGGAGCTAGCGTCTCCCAATATGGATAATACATGGACATGGATTTGCACGTGGATGGCGTGACCATAGAACGATAGAACCGGAAAGCGCGGAGGAACGAGACTTTCTTTTGGATGGCTGTCTCGCTGTGTAAGCAGTAACCGGTCACGAAGACGAGGAAGTTTCACGTTAGCTCCGCCGCTTGTTGTGCTAACTTAGCCGTCTGTGCTAACGGACCTGTAGATTTCTCACGAAAGTGGGGGCTAGTGGTGTGCTGTGATTGGTCACAATCTGCGACCCGAAACACATTCTCTTCCTTGTTTCATCAAAACTCGATCTAAAATATAATGTCACGCCAGCACAAATCTGCACTACTTTTTCTTCAAAAGGACGTATATCCCAATGCACTACATGGACATGGATAGCATTTTCATAATGAATACAAAAATAAAGTCAGTTAGTGCAGCTTTAATTTTTAAATGAAATGTGCCAACGCTTAATAATTCATAGCGGGCATTTCTCTATCCACGGGCCACAGAACAATGGCATATATACTGCTGCTGCAGGAGGTTACGGGGTCCGCGCTGGTCTCTCCAATGGATCTATGCGGGTCCGCGCTGGTCTCTCCCATGGATCTATAACAGGACCGCGCTGGTCTCTCCAGTCTATGGTTTCTCCAGTCCATGCGGTCTCTCCTCGGACCGCGCTGGTCTCTGCGCGCCAGTCTCGCAGTCTATGGTCTCGCTAGTCTACGGTCTCTCCTCGGTCCGCGCTGGTTTCTGTGTGCTGGTCTTTCCAGTCTATGGTCTCTCCTCGGGTCTGCATTGGTCTCAGCGCTAAAGTCCACGCTGGATCTCCTCCCAGGGTCCAAAATATTTTGAGATTCATTAAAATATTATTAATCTCGTAACATTTTGAGATTAATCTAATAATATTTTTAGATTGTCATAATTTTGCTAGTTCGACTTTATTCTCATAATATTTCGACTTTAGTCTGGCAAAAGAAGACTCCGTGTAACTCTTTGCTTTAGGCATGTTTCTGTTTGCTCTGGCGTCTGCACACGGCTCTGCAGTCCCTTTTATGGGCATTAATGGGCGGTTACGTATGCTAAGTACCTATGCTAATGACGCACCTGGCATGCGCGCTCTACTTACGAGAAGATGGAATTTATCAATCAAAGAACAGCTGCGAACAATTCAGCGGCTTACGAGCGCGTTGATGAATCCCACGTAGGCTCTTCTTGGAAAAGAAATTTAAGAAGATTCTTAAGAACATATTGGTGAATGAGGCCCAAAGTTCTGTTTGATTTGTTCACAACATTTTACTTTTGGACACAACCAACATTATTATGCATTATTAATGCAGGGGAAAATGTAGGTACCACAGCTTTAATTTAGAGACATGGGGAGGACATGGGCACTCCCTTAAAGGAGCTATACCCGTAATTAAATTATGGATTATGACGCAACTTGTATGAAGTAATAAGCATTTTTATGAACTCAGAAAAAAACTGGGTATAGCTTCTTTAAGGCTCTATAGTCCAGCTCTGTTTCTTGCAGCAACGCAATATGTATTTATTTTGTGTTACGCAAAGACACACACTTGCAACAAGCAGAGAATGGTCCGCACTGGGTACATTATGACCACGTTCAGCTACGTGCTCGCCGCGTTGTTGTCAAGGAGCCGCTGTCATTACAAAGCAGCCGGAGTGGCTCTGGAGTCAGAACGCTGCTGAGGAGGATTTGGAATTCCGTTTGAGTAGGTGCAGCAAAGAGCAGCAAGTGCCCCCAGCAAGTGCCCCGCGATCATTCACACCCTCTCTGGCATTGCACCACGCCCCCCTAGGGAGGAGCGCCCCACTATTTGAGAAGGACTGGTCTATGTGAAGTACGCAAAGGCGCTTACTAACTCAAGTGATAGTACGCATTTCTGATATTTGTCGCGCATGCGTACCTGCGTACCACTTATGTGCAGTCCTGATATTAAACAAACTTATTAAAGACATTTGGGTTGCCAGTTTGTTAGGTGAAATTTGAGCTGGTCTTGGATATTAAAAATATTTAACAGCAGCAGCACAAAAAAATTGCACACAAATAGCACCACAAAAATATCCAAAGCAGATACAAAAATAGGTCGTTCTATGACAAACACAAAAGATTGCCCTTTTTCTAGTAATCTTTATTTATATACCACCTTTTCACTGCACATCGGAGTCTCAAAGCGGTTTACAATTGTTATTTTTGGGAGTGGGGGTTAGATTGTAATTGTAATTACTTTATTACTGGTCCCAGTTTTATTTTGCCGCTCAGTGCCTTGCGAAAGTATTCGGCTCCCTTGAACCTTTGAACATTTCACCACATTTCAGGCTTCAAACATAAAGATAGAAAATTTTAATTTTTTGTCATGAATCAACAAGTGGGACACAATCATGAAGTGGAACGAAATTTATTGGATAATTTAAACTTGTTTAACAAATAAAAAACTTAAAAGTTGGGCGTGCAATATTATTCGGCCCCTTTACTTTCAGTGCAGCAAACTCACTCCAGAAGTTCAGTGAGGATCTTTGAATGATCCAATGTTGTCCTAAATGATTGATGATGATAAATAGAATGCACCTGTGTGTAATCAAGTCTCCGTATAAATGCACCTGCTCTTTGATAGTCTCAGGGTTCTGTTTAAAGCGCAGAGAGAACCATGAAGACAAAGGAACACACCAGGAAGGTCCAAGATACTGTTGTGGAGAAGTTTAAAGCCGGATTTGGATACAAAAAGATTTCCCAAGCTTTAAACATCTCAAGGAGCACTGTGCAAGCAATTATATTGAAATGGAAGGAGTATCAGACCACTGCAAATCTACCAAGACCCGGCCGTCCCTCCAAACTTTCATCTCAAACAAGGAGAGGACTGATCAGAGATGCAGCTAAGAGGCCCATGATCACTCTGGATGAACTGCAGATAACTACAGCTGAGGTGGGAGAGTCTGTCCATAGGACAACAATCAGTCGTGCACTGCCCAAATCTGGCCTTTATGGAAGAGTGGCAAGAAGAAAGCCATTTCTCAAAGATATTCATAAAAAGTCTCGTTTAAAGTTTGCCACAAGCCACCTGGGAGACACACCAAACATGTGGAAGAAGGTGTTCTGGTCAGATGAAACCAAAATCAAACTTTTTGGCCACAATGCAAAACGATATGTTTGGCGTAAAAGCAACACAGCTCATCACCCTGAACACACCATCCCCACTGTCAAACATGGTGGTGGCAGCATCATGGTTTGGGCCTGCTTTTCTTCAGCAGGGACGGGGAAGATGGCTAAAATTGATGGGAAGATGGATGGAGCCAAATACAGGACCATTCTGGAAGAAAACCTGTTGGAGTCTGCAAAAGACCTGAGACTGGGACGGAGATTTATATTCCAACAGGACAATGATTCAAAATATAAAGCCAAATCTACAATGGAATGGTTCACAAATAGACGTATCCAGGTGTTAGAATGGCCAAGTCAAAGTCCAGACCTGAATCCAATCGAGAATCTGTAGAAAGAGCTGAAGACTGCTGTTCACAAACGCTCTCCATCCAACCTCACTGAGCTCGAGCTGTTTTGCAAGGAAGAATGGGCAAGAATTCCAGTCTCTCAAAGTGCAAAACTGATAGAGACATACCCCAAGCGACTTGCAGCTGTAATTGCAGCAAAAGGTGGCGCTACAAAGTATTAGCGCAAGGGGGCCGAATAATATTGCACGCCCCACTTTTCAGTTTTTTATTTATTAAAAAAGTTTAAATTATCCAATAAATTTCGTTCCACTTCACGATTGTGTCCCACTTGTTGTTGATTCGTGACAAAAAAAAATATTTTTTATATCTTTATGTTTGAAGCCTGAAATGTGGCGAAATGTTGAAAGGTTCAAGGGGTCCGAATACTTTCGCAAGGCACTGTATTTTGTAGACATGTAGTCTTCATGTGAGACTATGAGATTCACAGGTGAGACTCTGGCTGTGTCCAAATTGGTAGGCATCTGGCGACGTAGGGTGGATGCGTAGGCATCAAAGGAAGGTATACCTTCAGAGCCGCATAGGCATCTGGCGACGTAGGCAGTGAAACCTGAAGTGAATTTAGACAGCAGCTGCCTTCGTTGCCTTTGTCTCATGACAACTCAACTCAGAACGTAGCGGAAGGACACAGTGGCCATGATGGAAGGTAAAATGTTTAAAACATGCTTTAATCAGGACATAAAAGTTAATTCTAATATCATTTGAGAAGAGAAATACCCCCCTCTACATTACAATACACACATTTTCGCTTCACACAAGGGTCTGGTATCAAGCGCATAGCAAACTCCTTCAGCAGATCAGAAAATAATCGACCAATCAGGATCACCGGTGTTACGTCGGGTTTGCACTGCCTTCAAGTGTGTTTCACGCAGCAGCGAAAGAAATCCAAGATGCCGGACATGAAGTCCGTGAATTTAAAAAAAAGTTTAAATACAAACAAATAAAGACACGGATGTCACTTATAATGCAATATGAGACGAGATGTTGATGGTTCTATGTTGATATATGTGTGTTTTAAGAGTCAAATGTTTGTGTAAAGTTTGGTTTAAGTACTGGTTTAGGTGTTCCTGTTTACAACACTATGCAGCAAGGTTGCCAATTTGGGTGACTTGTAGGTGATGAATAAACAGAATCATGATAGCCCAAGTTGATTACATTACGTTTTTAGCCAAAAAATCTTTCTGGGTGTTTTTTTTTGGGCATTCTCGTGGGTTTTGGGCTGGAAAATTGCGTAGTTTAAAATATCCTTGTTCCTGCTCAATAGTAGCCTGGCCATAGCCATCCGTAAACTCCGCTCAATCATCATTTCACTGCATGTAGCGTCTGGGTCTGGTCCCTGTGTTAGCGAATACAATTGGTCGTATTTTGACCAGCTACTCAGAGAGCGCGTTGAAGGTCGGTGCCGGTGACGTCAAGAGTTTGCGTCGAACGGGCAGGTTGCAGTTTGGCAATGGCGAAGAATGCGATAGCAAAGTAATCCGGTCTGGTTCTATCAAGAAATTGAAGCAAGAGCAAGAGGAATGTTTAGCAAATGTAATCGTTGGTCAAGATTGTGGCACTACTCCCCACGGGCTCCGTTAGCGGCAAAGGAGATGGCTAGGCTAAATGCTAATGCTAACAACTCACTTGGGCGCATTACATACGTCACGGTAAACTCAGATCCAATCGTTTCAATCTGCAAAAGGAGTTAACCCCTCCCACCTGTTCACGGAGCACAATGGAGCAAATCCAGACCTTAGTACGAAATTAAATTTGTACTAAGGTGTGGTACAACCAGGCTAGCTCAATAGTGGTGCGTTTCCAGAGTTATATCACAAAACAACAAGTGCTGAAGGCTGCATGGACAAAGAAAATTGTTCAGATAGATTAGACGAGAATCTACTTTGATGAAGACTAGTCCAGTGGTCTTCAAGGAACGCGGAAAGTACAGGGACGTGCGTAAAGTGCTCCGAGAAAGGAACATAAGACATCACATCCTCTTTCCAAATTGAAAATATTCTGCGAGAATGGTAAGGCCAAAGTGTTTGACAACCCGGCAGCTGCCGCGGAGGGCCTGCGTGAATATGGCATTGAGATGACATTACCGGCAGAGGATCAAGAGCTGGACTCATTGCTCCGCGCAACGGGCTGGCAAACAACTGGTTCCTACAAGCGGAGAACCCCTGAGACTGAGACTATGAATGCAATGAAAGTTTTACTGGGGAATAAAAATGAACACAATAATGGACAATGCGGATTGGACATAATGAATGACACGCATGATGCGTATAAAAGGTACGAATCCATATTATTTTCTCTCCTCCCAAACTTTCCGCTGGCAAAGGTTTGTGCTGCAGCGCTGGGTTGTTGAGTTATTTTTGTTAGTTATTATCATGACTGAACAATTAAGATATCCAACTCTGGGATCAAATGACAATTCACTTTCCTCCAAAATACACAACTTTGAAGCAGACTTTGATCTGGATAGGAATATATTTGATTTCAGTTCTTTTTCTCGTAATTATTATAGTAAACCCAGAAACGGGGAGCTCATTTTCTTTGGTACACTTCAATTGCATAAGTTTATATGCAAACATAAATAAAATTTATGAGTATTTGAAAATTCATTTAGTAGAACATGCGTCTTGCGTAAAAAGACCCGTGGCATGGAAGGGGATGACGAGTGATTTGATCCCATTTGATGGTACAGCTGGTGCTTCAATATATTTCCTTTTGAAACTGAATTACTCACCGCTGCATCCGGCAATTACCACCCTGACATCCACCGCAGTGTATTCTTTTATGACCTACAAACACACACAAGCAGGATTTATGAGGAAAACACCACAAGTTACCCTATGTCCACTGGACCATTATATACCATTATATACCCTGTTTGGTACAGAATTATCTCCATGTTATTTCTCCAGGAAACATGCCTTAAATTCAGGTGAAAACATAGCACCTGTGTTTTTCAAAAGTAATATTTAAAATCCTATTTCTGAGTTAATTTCTTGTCCAAATATTTTTGAAAAGTAAATGTTCCTGTATAGGGCTGGGACAACGCGTCGATGTAATCGATGACGTCGACACAAAAAAAAAGTAAAAAAAAAAAAAAAAAATGTAAAAAAAAAAAAATATGTTGACGCAAAATATGCTCGTCGATTCGCCACACTCAAAACAAAGATGGCAGCGAGTAGTAGCTACGGCTACTACTCGCTGTAGTAGCAGTAGTTACGCGAGTGGTGTCTTATGGGGCGTTCAGACCGCCGACGCTGGAACACAGTTTCCACGGGCAGTAGACGCACATTCTCAGACGCTAGGGGTGTTCAGACCAGAAGTCCCGGGCTGCGGTGGCGCCCGACGGAAGTGCTTTGATGCTAACAGAGTTAAGCTAGCGGCTTTTTGTGTAACGTTCTTCTCAAAGAAGGCAGCTCTGCAGCGTCTTCGTGTCCAGAGACCTTCCAGAGACTTTATATAACAGCAGTACGTGTTCACGGAGGTGCGCCATAAGTTCATTTTATTTTTAGATGGTATTTCCACATCGGTGAACATGCTAGCTGCGCTAGTTTACAGTCACTGGAGAATGACATCTCGGGCTGGCTAATCGGGCTGTTCACAAGCACAGAGTCCCCCATTGTCAAACACACAAAGAGACAGACAGCATTCTTAACGGGAAAGGAAAGTGCCAAGTCTATGTTGTTCTTTGTTATTTGTGAACGAAGATGATTCAGTAAGCTAGGCCTATGTTCAACAAAACCGTTGAACTCTAAATGTTTCTTTTTCATTATTTATTTTCTGATGGAAAAGCACTTTCCGTATTAGCTTAAAGCCCCCAAGTTTACAATAGTTACTGTATTCTTGCACTTTTTTTCTGTAAGCTAGATGTGTTTAAGGCGTCAAGGTTTTATGCTACCTATGACTAAGAATGTCTTATTTTGTAATTTTTAAAACAATATATTTGGTTAAGGAATTCATGTTTTCATGTAAATCAACATGTATACATTGATATTAGCAGTTAATGGGGAGATAATCGAATCAAAATCAAATCGGACTGAAAAAAAAAATAAAAACATTTTTTTTTAGATTAATCGATGCATTGAAAAAATTATCGCTAGGTTAATCGTTTAAAAAAATATCGTTTATCCTAGCCCTGTTCCTGTGAACTAGTATTCACTGCCAGAATACAGGTAATACAATGTTGCTAATTTGTCAGTGGCTGGGGACATGCTCATGCTTCGTGGCAAGAGGTGTTTGTGTGTGTCACCTGTTTGACGGCTTTAGCGGCCACAGAGTCGATGAAGGCCACGCAGCTCCAGTCCAGAACGAGTGAGTGGGGCGCACAGGGTACGGGGTGAAGGAAGACCACCTCCTCACACTCTTGCACAGGCAAACAGCCGTTCTGCTGCCTGCCACTGGTGCTACTGTGATTCTGAAGGACAACAATTAGATAAAGATCAGAACAGGTGATTAAAGAAGACATGACATGCTTCATTCTGCTATGGTGGTTGTCTCTCCCACCTGTGTTTCCTGATATGATACCTGAGATCTGAATATTGAGCTAAAACAATGGGTCTTTACATACTAAAGACCCACGTTTTTGGACCTGTCTTGAAAATGCTGTGTTGACCCATGTCATATGAACATGAGGCATCATCAATGTACAGCGCACTTATCTACGTGGAACCGTAAAACATCAAACATAATTTTTACTAGGACAACTTTATCATTAGACACACACACACACACGTTTTTATTACCTGGTGGTCTTGCTGTATTTTTGCCAATACTGGGGTCACTTCAGAATTACTCTGCACTCTGATCTTTTTTACTGGGACTACTTTAAGTAATACAAAACATTCCAAAACAGTCACTACAAAACAAATCTTTTACAGGATCAGGACATTTTATTATAATTTTTTTGTTGCTGCAGTGATTCTATTTTTTTTTTACATAGAATTTAATGCCACTCCATGTCCGATGATTAAGGTCATCTGGTGAGGCGTGAAAGCAGGCCAGGCAGTGAGACCTCCCAGGGACTTTTCCAGTCTGTATAAAAGACAACAACGTCTTCTCCACAGCCTTCACCTCAGATGCAGACCATGCCACACGTTCTGGAGAGGGGAAAAATATTAGAAACATACACCCCCAGGTTTAGAGCCAAGCAGCCTGGCTGTAATCCTCCACCACCCAGGCTTCCTGGACCATCCATCTGGTACACTTACCAGAAGGGGCACTGCCACTACCATGCGGTGCATCTGGTTGAATGGTTGAAGTTTCTGCACTTGAAGTTTCTTTTAGCCCGTCCGTTTCTGAGAGAATCTTTACTGCTCTCCGTGTAGCACAGAAAAGAAAAAAGAAAAAAAACTTAAATAAGTGTAATTTAGGGGAAAATAATAATAAAAAAAATATCAACATTTTAATAATATCAAGAATTACCTTCAGACTCAATTTGTATCCGGTCGAGGCTCTTTACTTTGAATTCCGACACTCTTCCCTGCACCATGGCCAGTAATACTTTGCTGATTCCAGCGTCCCCTCTGGTAGTGTGTGGATACGAATGTCATGGCCGAGGGTTTGCTCGTATGTCCAGATTTAATGACAGCCATTGGCTGTCATTAAATCTTTATTTATTTTTATTTATTATTTTATTTTAATTGTTGAAACAGCATACATCCTCTACAACAGGGGTGCTCACACTTTTTCAGCATGCGAGCTACTTATAAAATGATCAAGTCAAAATGATCTACCTACTACAAAAATGCAAAACATATATTTATTTCTAAATATATTGAGGATTCTTTATATCTACAATGTATGTTGATCTACATGCAAAACCGCACTATTTATGAAATAATTTGCATCCTCACATAACCAATTTTCAATCACATTCATAACATTCCAAACATGTGCGTCCTCTGACGTCCTGTCATGCGTTGGGAAAAAACCATAGATGTGGGCGGAGCTTTGATGCAGACGCCGGTACTACTGTAGCTGCACTTACAGTCATAGTAGAAACTCAGGGTGAAGACATATAATTATAGATCCATGGTGAAGACATATGTTTACAAGCACTGACCCCGTCCTCAGCCCTGGTTTGATCCTGGTTTTGCTCCCGTTTTGTTTTTTTTCGAGCGTGAGTCCCAGTGATCACTTTGCTGCTCTCTGATGTGGAGGATGTTTGCTGCTGCGAACCGCTCGCAGCAGCGAACAGTTTTTAAGGCTGTAAGATCCATGCTAAAAAAACAATACAATAAATTCACATATTTTAGTCCTTTTTAAATTGAGGGTCCAGGGACTTTGACTCCTGGGCTAAGGACTCAGTCACTCACTCAGTCACTCACTCAGAGAGAACCTCCCTCATGACAGGTGCAGGGGAGTTTTGTGTTTATCCTAGCAATTGACTGTTTCAATTCCTTTTTTAAACTTTTATTGATTAGTGAGCTAGCTTGTCAGTGCGCACTGCTCAGCAGTGCCAGAAATCTGTAACTAACTAGACCAACTGTGTCTATGCTTCACAGTGTCAAATAACGTAGTTTTTGTTAAAGATATTTGGTCAATTTTTATTATAACATTGATTTTCCAAGATTGTATTTAGTTTTCGGAAAGCCAAATCCTGCAGAAAGTTGCGAGCCTGCTTTTCCAAGAGATGCGCTTACTGTAGGCCTAAGCTGCTGTGCTTTGTGTGTGACCATATTCACAGCCACTAATAGCAAATACAAACAACATGGATCTCAGCAGTAGGGATGTCACAGTTACCTGTATAGTGGAAAACCCTGGAAAATATTGTGACTATAACATTTAACGTCTTGATAAAAAAAAGAAAGATATTATCTCCGTGGATTACCTCGCCCATGGTGTGGGCACCGTGAGCCTTTCCGCCATCTCCAAGTCTGCTGATGTTGCCGTGCGGGTGCACTCTGTATACAACCTCAGGAAAAAGTCTGAAGTGTGCGCATATTTAGGATTTTTTTTTAAATGCAGAGGGAGAGCAGATTGAAGGCAGCTATTCAGTCCGCAAATTGAACTGCACAAAACAGTCTACAAAAGGTGCTGTTGCTTCACTCCCTGTTGTTGTCAGGGAGTTTGGAAACATGTCATGCTCTTTGCAAAGAGGAAAAACTGCTGTGCAAACAAATAAAAAAAAAACAAATGCAGTTGGAATCAATCATGTCATTCGGAGGCTCTTCGCAATAACACAATGAGGATGTTTTTGTCTTGTCTTTGTCTACAAAAAACAAAATGTTTTCCTTAAGCTGTGTTCAGACCGCCAATGCTGGAACGCTGAAGCCTCAGCGCACAGACGCACATTCACTAGTTTTCAGACGCACGGGACTTCACACCAGAGTGTCCTGGCCAGCGCCGGAAGTGGCGGAAGTAGCCGGCCGGCTCTGATGATAACGGAGTTATGCTAGCGGCTTCTTGTGTAAAGATCTTCTCCAATAATGCAGCTTTGCAGCGTGTCTGTGTTCAGAGACCTTCCACGGAATTTATATCAGTAGTACGTGTTCACGGAGGTGCGCAATAAGTTTATTTGATTATTAAACGGTACTTCCGCATTGGCGAACACACTCGAAGCAGTTGCATAAAGTCACGGGAGCATGACAACGCATATGTTCAGCAAAGTTCATCTCCTGCGTGCGTCGACTTTCCGCTCCTGCTCCTCCCCTTCGACTTTCCCGCGCATTCCGTGCGTACGTTCCGAGACGCACATGTATTTTGACGCTCAAATGCGCGTCACCATTGACAAAGCAGACGCAACGCATGATCCGGTCTGAACGCGGCTTTATAGTTTTTGTCAATGAAAGAAACACTTCTAAATAGAACTGTGCCTATGACCAGGGAAATATGACCAGAACAAAGACGAGAAAAGACACTGACCTCTGCCTTTGCACAGACCAGCAATGTGTGCTTCTCCTTGGACTTGTGGATTTTCTTCTTTTGTGCTCTCCTTACAGACTGGATCTGCTCAGGGCTCACTCCAGTCTGCAAACAGGACATTGGAATTGTACTGAATATTAAACCAACATTATGAGGTGTCACGTGATCATGTCAGGTCATTAAGTCTTGGTCCCTGGCACGAACCATGGATATACCATATCCAGATATATTAGATCCATGGTTCCTGCCATGGACCTAATATGATATCTGGATATGGTATTACTAGCTTGGAGCTGAAGGACCCACGTGCTCGGGGGATTCTCGCGGTACTGCAGACTAAACAAGACAAAATTCACATGGGCTACCTAGAAATTGTCCCCATAGAACTCAATGTAAACTCAAACAGCTCGACCTCAGCTGTTTGGTATAAACAACTCGTTGTGTTTGGATACTGAGTTGCATCCCAAGAACACCATACCTACTGTGAAGCACGGGGGGTGGAAACGTCATGCTTTAGGGCTGTTTTTCTGCTAAGGGGACAGTGCGACTGATCCGTGTTAAGGAAAGAATGAATGGGGCCATGTATCGTGAGATTTTGAGTCAAAACCTCCTTCCATCAGTGAGAGCTTTGAAAATAAAACGTGGCTGGGAGTAGATATAAGTGACGGCGCTATTGAGCAAGTGGTGAAAAGGTGGTACTGCACCCTGAACTCCTCAGAATAGGGTCGGCGCTATTGAGCAAGTGGTGAAAGGTGTTACTGCACTGTATTTTCCAAGAGGTGTCACTTTGAATGTTTAATGAGTTGCCCTCTGTTGACCCCAGTGTGTGTGTGTGCTTCACAGTTGTCTAAGGTGATTTATTGAACAGAGCTTAGCGTAACACCTGCGTAGGGTTACACCATGTTTATTCTAAAACAAACAGTGAAGCCCTGGTTAGGGAAGACGTGCTAATAGCTAATCAAGCTGCAGGGGAGGACCTGCCCCAGACCTATCAACCTACAGCAAACAGTGTAAGCGAATCATGCTGAAGGGGTGGGGAGGGTGTACTAACAACGAATCATGATGAAGGGGTTGGGAGGAGGATGGACCTACTACGTCCAATCAGGGTGATACATGTAGTACCATGTGATGAAAAGGTGGTATGGCGCCCTATTTTCCAAAAGGTAACACTTGAGTGAAGCAGATCCCTTTCTCAAACTATGGGTCTCCCTGAGGTTTCGCACTTTTTTTTCATATGAGTTTTTCATTGCTGATGCAGGAAGGGTTTGTTGCAAAGTTAGTGAGAAACTAGAAGGACTGTGGTAATGATCCAGGACACTTTAATATTCTACAATATGTAGGGGTCTATATTCTTTATGTGTTTTAACTGTTGATTCTCCGATCTGTGTTGGTGATTTTCAGTAGTTTTTTGGTAAGTCCTCTGAGATGACTCCAGTTGTGATTTAGGGCTATACAAGAATAAATTGTATTGTATAGGTGTTTATTATTTTTCTGCAACAAGTGGTACTGCACCCGAACTCTGAAAGAGCGACACATAGGTGTGTGTGATAGCCTTATCATGTGGTCCTGAGTGTTGCACTAAAACAATAGGGGGATAGTTGTTATTTTTTTCACGGAGATGGGCGCAGGGTTCCAACTGGTACACCAGTATGAACGATCCGTCTGAAACTCACCTGATGACGAAGGTTCCGTGGAGCAAAAACACATATATTTTTGTGGCGTTTATCAATCGTAATTAATGTGTTATAATCCTAACCCTAATCATAAGGTAGCAGTCTCTATATCAATTTAATTGTCCAATACAATAAAAATAAGAACCCTAGATACATATATGTACACAGTTTGAAACAGAGTAGGTAGATGTGAAACTAGGGTCCTTGGTACAGGTTTTCTTTTTAATTGAGATCAAATGATTTAAAGGCGTACATCTCTCAGATATACAATTGACACTCGTTACCATAAATAGTCATCTTAAAGACTGATTAAACACCCATATTACATACCTTAAACATTATGTGCAACATTTTACCAAAACACAAACCATTAATTAAACATTATGTACAACATTTTACCAAAACACAAGCCATTAATTAAAATCCAGATTTTCTTATTATGTAACACTCTCATATTTATTGAGTATACTAGTTTTGTTGTTTCTTAAAAACCATGATTTTTTATTTTTGACTCTTTAATGTCTTTGTTAAGTTGATTCCTTCCAGAGACCATTCTTCCCATGACTTTAGTTCTGAATCTAGGTTTTATTAAAGATGTTAGTTACTTACAGATTGTATCGACATTGTCTTTTTTTCCAAAGTTCTCTTAGATGTTTGCTGCTAATGTTTTGCAATTTACCTTATACAATGTATGATAAATAGTATAATCCACTATAACATACAATTTTAACACCAAGCACTCAAAAACAGGATTTGATGAATCTCGATATATTTTCCTCCTGGTCTTTTTATGTAAAATAACTATAGGCAGTGTATGTGTTTTAAACGTTGTCTCCAAATGTTGACAACATAGGTGAGGTCGGTATAATCATTGTATTATCTCAGGTCAGTAATGCTGAGTGGTTTGGAAAGGGTAAAACACCAAGTGATTTGGCTAATTTTCCTTTTGTACAGTGTCTGTGAGATTTCCAGCTCAGATCCTCAACGATGATGACTCCCAAAAATGTTGTTTCTTTTACCCTTTTGAATTTCCCCCCGTCTAGTCTTATCGATACACTATTTAAGATTTTTTTTCTTTTTAGCATTGAATATCATGTATTCGTTGTTTCTTTGTTTAGAGCAAAGTCATTATGATCCAACCAGATTTTTATTATGACAAGTTCTTTGTTTATTACTTTTTGATAACTCTCCAATATTTTTTCCACAACAAAATAATGCTGTGACACCAGCAAATAAGATTATTTGTAATATAGTTGTCATGTTTACAAGTTTAAAGACACAATTCAATCATTTATAAGTTTAAAAATGCAACACGTTCTTAAATGCTATGTAATAAGTTACATTTAAAAACAAAGATTCCCTTTTCCATGGAAAATGAAGACAGGGTGAAATCCGAGGCACTCTGATAAAAGTCCTTTAACAGAGAAGGGACCAGCGTGTTTGGGCCCCGCAGCGCCTTCTTCAGCCCAGTGTGATAATAAGCTATAGTTGTTTGTTGTGCTAAAATATAAGGGGAAACAAAGTAAGACATCAGTTTCCTGTCCGAGCAGAGTAAGCGCTCTTGTTTGGTTTGTTTTTGTAACAATCTTTGTTTCATGTGTAGAGCCTTGGCAAACTTTCGTCTTTGTAAGTATTATTTAATCTCACAAGCACATTGTTAGGGCCACAAAAGTGTTTTATTCTACTCCAAAGTGTTAAGTTTGGGCTATATCTGATTAGCTAGCGCTGTACCCAATTCCGTGTGTATAGCCGTTGATAGTTTTTATATTGTTTCAGTTACGGTGATTTTTTTATTTTGTATTTAGGGATGCAATGAACCATACGCAAGAGATTCTCTATGAAACAAGAAAAGTAAGCCTTGTCTACAGAGTTTCTTTCCCGTTCGCTCTAGCTTCACATGGTCACGTATCGTGAGGACAGCACAATAGTTGATACTTTTGGAAAGTCATTCATACAAACAATATTGGTATTGAGTAATTTATTATTTTTTACAATTTATCTGCACAAACTGTTTAAGATTTTCTAGATAACTAGAGATCCATGTATGAGCAAGCCTTTTGCAGGTCTAGTAAGATACTTACAACATATGTATCTGCATATTTTCTCTGTCAGTTCCATTATTGCCACAGCAGTTGAGTGTTTTTTCCTAAAGCCATACTCATTTTGAATTAACACATTTACTTTTGTAAAAAGCTATCCACTCACATTGCAAATACTTTTTTCAAGATTTTTGAAAACTGTGGTAACAAAGACACGGGTCTAGAATTTGAGAAGTTGTGTTTGTTTCTGTAAAGAGGTATAATTTGGTTGTTTTCATTTTTTCAGGAAAAGGTTCCTGTTTTTAGTGACAAGTTGCAAAGGTATGTAAAAAGGTTCAATTACAGATGCATCATGTCTGAGCCAGAGTCGGTTGTTTACAAATGTATTCACAATTTTTCATACTTTGTCTTTTTTTCCATATTGGAAAGAAAAATACTGTTCACAGGATCTACCTTTGTATTTCACTGTAAGATGTAGGCTTTGGAAATTTTCTTTTCTTTCGAGTCTCCTACACGAGTAAAGTATCTACAAAATTCATTTGATATATTTATTTTATTGGATATTTCTGCCTTTGACAAAATAATTTGTGTACTCATGTTTGATTTTGTTGTTCCTCATGACATTATTTAAAATTCTCCAAGTAGCTCGTTCTCATTTAGTGTATCACTAATGAAAATAGAAGACAAAAGAACAAAAGGTACAACAAGCACCCACATACGGAAAATATATAAAAAATAACTGATACAATAAAATAAGACCTCCACAGATATGAAGTGACACTTTACCCCAGTGCCACAGATATGAACACTATATTGAATAACATATCATGGAGATATAGGATCACATCCATCCATCCATCCATTTTCTTCCGCTTTATCCGTTGCCGGGTCGCGGGGGCAGCAGTCTAAGCAGAGACGCCCAGACTTCCCTATCCACACACACCTCCTCTAGCTCGTCCGGGGGGACCCCAAGGCGTTCCCAGGCCAGCTGAGAGACATAGTCTCTCCAGCGTGTCCTGGGTCTTCCCCTGGGCCTCCTCCCGGTGGGACGTGCCCGGAACACCTCCCCAGGAAGGCGTCCAGGAGGCATCCTGAACAGATGCCCGAGCCACCTCAACAGGTTCCTCTCGACGTGGAGAAGCAGCGGCTCTACTCCGAGCTCCTCCCGTGTCACTGAGCTCCTCACCCTATCTCTAAGGTAGCGCCCAGCCACTCTGCGGAGGAAGCTCATTTCGACCGCTTGTATCCGCGATCTCGTTCTTTCGGTCATTACCCACAGCTCATGACCATAGGTGAGGGAGGGAACGAAGATTGACCGGTAAATTGAGAGCTTTGCCTTTCGGCTCAGCTCCCTCTTTACCACAACGGTCCGATACAGAGACCGCATCACTGC